CCGCGACTCCGTTCGCTTGGATATATAAAAAAACTTAGTGTACCCTATGTGTTCTTTCAGACTATGTTCTATACGTATGCCAAATTTAATCGAGATCCATTCAGCCGATCTAGAGATATCTTCAAACAACCATCCATCCATCCACCCACATCACATCCATCTAAACATTCGCGTTTATAATATTAGTAAGTTAAATACAAAGCAGCTCTTCAAGGCATAAATTCGAAAAAAAAATTAATAAATAGTATCCTATGTCCGTCTCCTGGCTCTAAGCTACCTCCTCACCAATTTTCAAACAAATCGGTAAAGCCGTTCTTGAGTTATAAATAGTGTAACTAACACGACTTTCTTTTATATATAAAGATATTCGGTCTGCAGCTGCGTAAAAAGACGTTAATACGAAGTGGAAACTTAAAAATGTGAGCTAAGTGAATTGCTATCTTACTTTCTTCTTACTAATATTATAAATGCGAATGTTTAGATGAATGGATGTTTTTGATTAAATTTGGCATGCATGTAAGAACATAGTCTGAAAGAACATGTAGGCTGCTTATTAAGTTTTAAAGCCACGCAAACAGACTCGCGGGCGACAGCTTGTATAACAATATAATGAAAAGAACCACAAGAAAAGGAAGTTTAATAACAAGATTCCTAAATTATATTATTTATTTAATTTCACGCAGAAAATATAAGTAAATGCTGTCAAAGAGTTTATTACTTAAATGAATTTAAAAATAAACGTTGGAACGCTGCAAATGAGTGAGCAAAGGTCTCATTGAATAAGTTGCAGGTATGTAATTTACTTAATTAAGTAATCCCCGACGACAGACCACACCGGCAGACTCCGAGGCGACACCTTATCGTATAAGATACTCGATTACTTCGAATAGATAATAGATATCTACATACTTTCAAATTAAATCTACTTAATTTTAACAAAAAAATAATATTATTATAATAATAGTATCCATTTAAACGAAAATTGAACTTGGATAGTTAATTCTTTATTTCAAACTAACTATGGCTCGTGACTCCGTCCGCGCGGAATGAAAAAAAAATATATAATTAATAGCCTATGTGTTCTTTCAGACTATGTTCTACATCTATGCCAAAATTCAGCGAGATCCATGCAGCTGTTCTGGAGATACCTTCAGACAAAGATCCATCCATCCATACATACATCTAAACGTTCGTATTTATAATATTACTAAGAAGTAAGATTACTGTAGTGGTAGATATAAACACTTCCGATAAATTACATAAAATTAATCGTAATTGATATGAATAAACATTTCAACTTCATTTTTAACATAAGCGACCTTATTAACTTGTATAAAACTGTCCTCGAAAGGCATATTTAATTAATAAAAGAGTGCGGGTAGTTTCTAATTAAATTGATTCAAAATTGAATTATTCTTAATCGGTTGTTACCAATTTTTATTAGATCTGATAACACTAAATCATTTTTTATAACTCAAAATTCTATGTATATCTTCTTACTAGGCGCGAGTAAATAACTTCAGTAGTAGTAAGAAACATAATTTAGAAAACGTTCATAAGTTTATATGAAGTCGTTAAAAATACTCACCGTTAATAAAGGTGCAACAGGATCTTGCATGCACTCAAGTCAAGCTTTCCTCAAAATCAAAGACACAAAATAAAAAAAAAACTCATATGACAAAAATAATTAAAGGAAACACTTATTTGTAACAAAAGTTTACCTATAGATAGGTATTAAACGAAATTAAATCAAAGATTAAAACAATTTGACGTTCGCAAAGTTTTTGACGTTTGAACTTTAGCAAAAACGACAGGAACGCACGACGCGTGTAATCCCTGCCAATGACGGCGCGAGACTGTTCGCAAGGCAAGAACGGCCACCTCTTGCCTCTTGGGGAGCTTTCGGTGCTCTCGAGGCGAGGATCCGTCCGTCCCTCTCGCGCAACCGGTCACCTGCCGGATAAAAAAAATAATATAGAAGCCTCACATTTCGCCGAAATATGAACCAAACCAAACAGCACTTTATAAACGGTCAGGTACGCGGCAACTTCGTTTACCTTGCCTATTGACATCCCTGTGGGATAGCGGGGGATTAAGCTACTTTATGGATAGCGAATGTTCTTGCTTCGGGCGATTATGAATTAACGTTCGCACGCTGCTAGCTGTAATTTGGATATGTTACCTATCATTCAGTGTAACGTAAATTGCTATAGAATGGTGAGAGCGTACTGACCTACAACAGCGATAGACTTCGAACGCGTTATAATCTTTAGCGAGGACGCGATAACTGGATGTATAAACAAGGAGGATCTTAGCGGTCACAGATAACAAAGCCAGCATCTGTGAACGTGTCTGTACCTAATTTATCTCGTTTTTCCCGCGTTTTATCCCTTTTTTGAATATGTAAGACCAATATTTGATGGAACCTTAGTTATGTAGCAAATCCTTCATAATATCCGCAAGTTTCTTACTGCTAAAAGTGTTTTTATAACGTATTTTCATCCCTCTCGCTCACTTTGATAATGGCAGGGAGGGAAAAGAAAGCGATGATATACTTTCATCTTACATGCGACATTACACTTAAAATCGAATCAACTTTTGTGCGTTTTATTTTAAAATGTCAACCTATATCAGCTATAACTGCAAAACCTATTATTGTAAATATAAATTATAATTTCTTGCAAACCTCGACACGATACTTTGTAGACTACGAAGATAATGATTGATCGTTTCATCATAAAGTACTAGGTGTAAGCAAAAACATTGTATTTTAAAAGGTATTTCACTAAATTATTGAAGGTGAATTAACATTATTTTTCTAAGAGAAGAAAGCAACGAACCAATATTTATGACTATTTATCTTAAACAAAATGAGTTACAGTTATTTTCTTTGTAGCCAAATAGTAAATCTTAAATTTTTTAAACCGTAATTACTCTAAGTTGTATTTTTCAAATTTATATTTCTATTATAAATATATTTTTTTTTAATTTCACTCATAACTATTACTCAATTAGTTGTTAATTTTTGTTAAATTATTTAAAAAATGCTGTATTATTGTAAGAACGACCTTGCGAAATCGTAGACACGGCAAAGCACTCAGCAAACCCCGAAGCGAAGCTAAGCTTAAAATAGTTGAAGCACCCGCACCCGCAAACCGCACCTCTCTTAAATCCTATTAAAGGCTGAGCGCATCTATTCATAGACATGATAAAAAGTAACACCGACGTACAAGAAATTTACATTAAAACAGTATTCTCAGGCGACGTCGTAGTCAGCTCATGTACATTACCACTGAGAGACTCTAAGCCCAAAAATAGAGTTGACTAGGGCTTAGTCAATCACTCGGGTCTAGTGACTATCGGTAGATTTGACGTGCGTCTTATATGTCCAAGTTGCATCACGGTATTTTCATTAAAAACGTAGGTTAACTATACGTATGACATTCGAAGAACAACATGTAGAAATCGAACCTAGACCTGTAGATTGCAAATGCAGTGCTTAACTACTGAGACACTGAGACAAAGCTCTCAGAATTCTCAGTGCCAATAATTTATGTTTACTGTTTTACGCATGACCTCATCTTTTACTAGAACTATAGTTGGATATCTATACAAAGTATCCAAATTATATCTCTTGACAGTATTTTGTTGCGATCGGATTTGGAGCACTTTACAATGTTACGAATGAGGTCATATTAACTGGAACTATGACAAATCAATAACTTATCTATTCGGCTATAAATAATTTTGTATAGAACATTTAAAAGTAGATATTTGTTAGTTGATGTCGAGATAATTTGAACAAAAATAACCTAAAATCTTTTCCTATCGTAACTTTTGTGTGTCAAAATTTCATTTGTTGTAGAAATTATCTGCAATAGAACTTTACTATAAACAAACTAATAAATTCAATATTATGTTCAAATCAACACTATAGATAGGGGTCATGGTTTGTTAGCTGCAAGTGAAAGCACAAAGCGCGGTGCGACTCGCGACCACCCAGACCAAACCAGCTCCCGACTCCTCGACCTGTTTGCTCCTTGAAGATCGCACACACATTTTTGGTATTTTCATTTCAATTGAAAGCCATTCCGAAGCTTTGTGTTATAATTTATCTATGTTAATTTAACAGTATTTTTTGTTAATACTCAAAATAATAAATTAACTCGCATCAGACAACAGATCAAACAATTCATATGTTTTTTTTTATCAAGGTATTAAGTTAATTTTAAAGCATAAAAGGCGCCAATCAAAAAATTTTTTCGTACGAAAAATCACCCGTTTCCACTTAACGGTTAACTCTTTAACCATTACAAGAAGTGACCTTTGACCCCAACGTTGAAACCACTTAACATCTCTGTAACGACAGCTGTCAAGGGTTATTTTTACCCGTGTATATGTGTAAATGGGGTCACCCGTTAAAGTAAATTAAAGTTTTAATACATCAACGAGTTATTATAGATCAAGCAATATAGAGTAGCTGTCGCCCGCGACTCCGTCCGCGCGGGTTTAAAACAAAACTTAATAAGTAGCCTATGCTTTCTTCCAGACTATGTTATCTGTGCCAAATTTCATTATGATCCGTTGATCCGTTCCGGAGATATACTGTAACAAACATCCATCCATCCCTCCATCTAAGCATTCGCATTTATAATATTAATATGCATGATATGTAAAATTTATTAATTTCAATTATGTAAAGCAAAAAATACTCTAGAGATGTGATTACGGTCAGTTTCTAAGACAACGAACTCGGCGAGTGGGTCAAGGATTTACAAAGACCATCCCTATTGTTTGCTTGAATACAACGGGTTTTGAGCTATAAATGTAAAGCACTGCTTCGTCTTTACCTGACATACGACATGCTTTAATTAATGAAAAGGGACGGGAGTAAAATTAAAACAAATAAGGTCTCTTACTCTCCGAGATCTTTTTGTTTTATTATTATTTTAATCTGTGGGAAAACATTTTAAAATTTTTAAAAATAAACAAATGTCAAACGCTAATTGTCAAAATATATCTTATTGTTTTTAAAATATTTATCATTAATATACTCATTTGAAGATCAGAAGTGATTCAAATATTAATTTAAATATATCGAAAATAAATCAAAGACAATATGACAGGTAAAACTTTTAATATCGTATTTTTATCTATTAGTACTTCAATAGGTTCCCAACAGTTACCTAATTGTGGCAAAGGTGATTTTCTTCCCCCTTATAAATCGGCAGCATATTTTAAAACACCATGTGTAGTTTAAGATAACATATGCCCGACTTCTTCTTCTTCTGTCTGACTGCACTTTTACATTAATTGTACATAATATGAATATCTTTGTATATATGTATATATATATATATATATATAATTCTTCTGTGAGTGTGTATGTCACTGAACTTCTCTCAAACGACTGGACTGATTTTGATGAAATTTTTTGTATGTCTTCAAGGGGATCTGGGAATGGTTTAGATTCACAATTTTGTCCGCTGGAAAATGTTTTTTTAATTAATTTTTAATTTATTAGTAGTTGTTGATTTTGGAATGTTTTACATTGGATCCGACAGACGGCGCTACCATCGCAGTTTCAAATTTTAAATAATATTCGAATTAAAGACGTGTAGACAGGAAAACGTCTGTCGGATCCGCTAGTGTATTATATAATTTCGAGGAACTCTATAAGTCGCGCCTAGCGATGGATCATTGGAATTTAAATCTAAATATTACCTATTAAACTAACCGTCAAATACGCTGGCTAAGAGTTGTTGTCATCAGCTCCTTATTATGTCAAAATCCATCGAAATCGTAATGTTAATTAACCTAACAGTAACATAGCTCCTAGTACAAAGTTTCAAATGACCTTTTATTGCGCGATATCTTTATTATTTAACGATAATAGGATGTAATTAATCACTTATCTGACAGCGACAGCATCGTCAAGTCAAGAGCAAGCCGTCGTGCTCGACATCGGAGCAATGATCGACCTGGCCATCGGCACACCAGAGGTAAACATATTTTATAATTACACTTGAAAAAAGAAAAATATTCTGTGTACTTATAGTTTACATAAATGTTGTAGTTATAGTTAGGATAATAACTAAATACTAGTTAAAAATAACCACGCTTAAAAAGTAAAGTATTTTAATAAATTCGAATGTTAAAAGCTTATAAGTAACGGGACGATTTAGAAGTCAAAGTAGGAAGTAAAACAAAGCTAAAGTCCATTATATGTCTAGAGCTAAGTAATTAGGCCATTAGGTCACTATTATATAATTTAATTTAGCAATTTAGAACCATTTTAGCGGAGAAATGAAATACGCTATATTCATAATTGAAATACTTTCTTATTTCTAACATTTCTCGAATTCTTTGAATTATTTGAACTATTTTAACGAGAGAGAGAGTACCACTCGACGAGGTTCAATGTCAACATGAACCACTTAAAATTATCGTAGCGACATTTCGTTGGCTTAAATAAATCAAAGCTCTAAATTATTAGCTATATTTCCTAGCTTATTTTCATTCATTTAGTACTATTTTTATCCCTAACCAATTATTCAGCCTATTCTGCGTGAACCAAAACAAAAGTTTTAATTAAAAAAGTGGGTATTTCGCCAAAAACTCTGTAGTCGGAGGTATTTGCGTTGAATACTCAGTTCTGCTTGTCTTATGAAGCACTACGGACGTTAGAATAAAATTCGAAGAAGTATATTTTCATGTATAGTAACCTCGTAAATATAATTAATCTAATTTTAGGTTGGTGTGGTAGACTTCGGTATGCTACAAATAGTGCTACACTGCTTGGCGCAACAGATACGAATGGCCGAAAAGCACGTCGAACTGCGAGGTGACTCAGATATGCTGCCTGTTGGAAGGGACTACGTACGAACGGTTTCCATAACAGAATACGCTGTGGACACTGAAGGGAATAAGGTACGTACTTAAAGCTTTAAGTAATTATGAAGATGTCCTTTATCTAAGGCCGTCGCCAGCCAATGATCTAGGCTAAGTCTATAGAGGTAGTAGTTTTAGTTCTTTTTTATTCCAAAGGAAATGATTATCAATATGTGGTCCAATTTTTTTTATGAAAAACTGACAAGTAAATTTTATAGTATAGTCATCCCTAGCTTGGGTAGGCTCCGATCCCCTCGGTGGGGACGAATGATGATGAATTTTAGAGTTATCTAAATGTATCCATAGGGATTGTTAGCATCTATGCGGGCTTCGACTCTATAGGGGTGGGGACAGCTCCTACCTCCTAACTTTTCTTTTCGACGCCTTTAACTAATGTTACCTTGTATCCTCTACCCCTCACTGATTCATAAAATTAATTTATTATTCCATCAATTATATGTTCTTAATTTAATTATATCTCCTAAAAGTTTAATATTTCATTTCAGATACAAGAGATTGATCCTCATGCAGGTGAGTCTCACAAAAAGCAACACACAATCAGTAGCTCGTTAAAATAATTAGCTTCTATAACCTAGTTATATTTTTTAGACATTATTAGTTAGAATGGTTTGGCGCGAATGTTGCGCTTTTGTTATAAAGTCAAGTGTCAGATTGATTAATGAGGGGACATAAACATGACATTTTTAAGGCTAGTGTAACGCCGATACATCGCCACAGTACCGTTTCTTCCTAACAATTTTTCTTTATTTATATTATAGTTATCGGTTTAAACTCATAATGTAATATATTTTCAGCTCCATCGCCTGAAGAACAACAAGCTGATAGTATTTTCTTAGGTGTGTAATATTTTACTAAGCATTAAATATCTTCCTATCTTTCGTTGCCTTAAAGATCCCAGACCCTCTTGTTGTACTCGACATTGGGCCGTGAGGGGGGGTTTTGTTAAGTTTCATATAACCTTGTCTTCCTCCATAAGCAAGAATATCTTTTGAAGATTTGCCATCTGACTCCAAATGGTAAAATATAAAGCAGAATACTTCTGCAGAAAGTGGTTTAATACATACACATATGTTTAGTAAATAGAGTTTGACTTGATACGTCGTAAAAAAGAGAACGTTACTGCCTTGAGAACTCTTTATTACATAATGTTTAACGTAACAGTAACCAAAGTTTTAATTATAATAAATTAATATTTGACAATTAATGCTTTTTTATTTTTCAGTGGAACGCTTGAAAAAATCCGAAGTCGGTAAGATAATACCTAATTAAATTTTAAAAAAGATAAGTAAACGTATAATAAACATTGTGGTATCGTTTCACTTTTAAAAGATAATATTATTTTACTATTTTATTACATTTCAGCGGATCGATCGAAGAAAGTGGAACAAGCACATGGTAAACAATTACATTATATTATAACTTTTAGTTCTTCTTGTTTCAATTGCAATCTTAAAACACCTATTAACACACAACTAATGGGCGTCGTCGAACACCTCGGTGTTCCCGCAGCTCGTTTACCCCCTTCAGTTATATAAAACTAAATGGACAAACAGACTAAACAATCATTATTATTATTGAGACTTCTTATTAAGACAAAAAAACTAGAATAGATAAATAATTCATTATTAGTATATTTTATTTTTAAATCATAATGTGACGTTACCAGTGGTGGCACCGTCACTATCTCGCAAAATAAAACCCGAGGAGCCGCCAGAGCCCCCTGCCGAGGAACCAGCTCCGCCGGAGCCGGCTCCGCCACCGGAACCACCGGCCCCAGTTCGCAGCCAGCCTGCCTCCATAGAACGTCTGTCTCTTGTTACTCTCAGCAAATTCAATGTCCTTGAAAATACAGTAGAAGATCTTAAAAATCGGGTCTACGGCAGCATGCCGAAGAACGAAGAAATCTTGGAAGAAGTTCGGTGCGGAGACTTTAAACTTAAATTAGGAAAAATATATAGATTTAAAAACATATTAACGTCATAAGTAGTCAAATAAAGCCTTTGCTTGTAAATTAATTAACCTTTTCAAAAATTTGACGCAGACATTTTTACATAAGTAAGTAATAACCAAATACAAATCAACTCAAGGTTCAGTTTAAAAATCCTATTAATTCAATGTTCTATAGCACTGTAAATTTTTATTAATTCTGATTCGAATTAGAGCTAAAAACAAGCATTTTCTAGATCTCAAACAAACCTTAAAGCCATAACGGACATGTGGACATCACTGAATGTGTCTTCGCGGCTCGAAGCGGCCGAAGCCGGCATCGCTAAGCTCAGCTCTCTTGTGGAAGATCTCATCGCCGACTCTAACGCCCTGCAGGAAGCTTTGAAAGAACGAAAGTATGTGTATTATTATAGACTTAAAAAGGTCTATAACTTTCTGAATACTTGTCAGAATTAATACTTAAACTATTTTGTTTGAATTTGTAGACTCAGTGCAGAAAGGCTACCGCAGAGGCAAGTCGAAGAGCAAAGTGCGGAACCTGCACCACCCCAGCCAAGTCCCCCGGCTGCGGAGCCCCCGCCGCCGCCACCGCCTCCCGCACCGGCACCCACACCCGCCCCCGCTCCTACACCTGAACCAGTCTCAGCACCCGAAACCGCAAGCAGTGCTGCTCCCAGCACCGCCGCATCTAGTCCCCCCGGTGCCACTGGGGCCGGCTCCGCGGGCATCTCCACAGCTGGCTCAGCCACCGTAACCCCCGCCGCTTTCCCTAGGGTGGGCTCTATTTCGCCGCAAATCAACGAATTACGTGCAATGATACAGCAAGTAAAAACTGATCTTGATAATATGGCTAAAGAGTTTGTTGAAGCGATGGCAGATTTGCGACCGGGTACGTATATAATTGTTTTAGTAAGACTTCGCGCTGGGTGTTAGAGTGTATACTAAGTCTTTTTTTTTAATTTAAGAACATCCTGTCACAATGCCGCCATCATTACCTGTACTGCCGCCTGCGCCTGTAGAAGTGGCACCACCACCAGGTAATTACTCTTACTTTGTAGTAAAGTATGTCGTCATATAACGATCGAACACCACCACACAATACCACAAAACAATTTTGATTTCTTAGCAGTTACAGAAGAGCTGGGGATTCCGCTTGCCGAACTCTTGGGCAAGATATGTTTAGTGGAAGCTAAATTGAAGGAGTGCTGTGAATCTGTTAACAAACAAGAAGGAATCATTAGCGATCACGTAAATACATATTTAACTACTTACAATATATAATACAAATTTTGGTAACTAATAAAAGATGAAAAAGCAAAACAAACTTGCCCTTCAATATTTACGTGGATACCAAAAAAAATGAAATTAGTTCGCTATTTTATAACGAGGTCAGATCAGATAAAAAATATGCTTAAGTTAGCTAAAGACACAACTAGAACATCATAAAAAATACTTCGCTATTAGTATTTTAGATAAATAAAGTACGGAATTTAATTAGAGATTGTTGATTCTGCAAGACGGTAATATCAAGGAAATTGCGCGAAAATCTTATAATTGTAGAATGCCAACTAACCGGCGAACCCACCTGGTTAAGCCGATTCGTGTTATTTCTACTTTTTAATTGAAGTATGTATTATTTATTGCTTATAAATATCAGCAATTTATCATGATAATAAACTTAAACCATTTAGTTTCTGCATGAAACTTGGTGATCGTAGTTAACGGAATTATACTGTATTTATCTTAAAGTTTTTCTTTGTTATTAGATAAATTCATTCCAAGATCAAATAGAACATTTATCAAGACAAGTAGCAGGGATTCAGGAATCAGCAGGAAGTAAGATGCCACTGGAAAATGCGCCTGACTTGCAAGGTCTGGGAATCATCTACTAGAAATTCTTGCATATAGCAATTAAATTGTTCGACAATCACATAACAGTAGCAGATCCCTTAATGTTAGTGATCCGACTGCAACACAAGACGAATTACTGTGGTTTTAGTACCTATTTTTATTTATTTTTAAGCCACTCGATAGTTTTTGGTAATTATCAAAAAAGCAATGTTTTATACTCTGTGCCTACAGGGTTAATGAAGTTGTACCAGACTGTGCAAGATATGAAGGAAGAACTGAAACTTGTGCACGAAACTGCTCTGCATTTGGCCTCCGAAAAAGAGGACCGGCAGGACCGTATAAATGTATTTATCTATTCATTATAATTTACTTTCTTAATAACAATTATTGTCCTACGATCAAATTCCCAGTACTTCTAGTATACTATATTTTCTTATCGGATTATCTACTCTTTTGTTATTTATTTTGTTGTTTCCTTTAAATTATTAGTTGCGAATATTTTATTTAATTGTTTTACTTAATTAAGCCACAGGCGTGAGTGTAGTTTGTAGTATTAAGATATGAGACTTATAAGTTGATGAGAGCTTATTTACCTTTAATATAAAAAGAAATTGGAATAGAGGTTACTAATAAGAAATTATCAAACAAATACAGGCAATAATCGAACAAATAGAAGTACTGAAGACGATAAAGTTGGACCGCGACGATATGACGGAAGCAATGGCGGAGAAGGCGGACTTGCGGCTTCTGGCGCGTAAAGTGTCACATGATCAGTTCGAGCTTGCCTGTGATGACCTGTCCAGAGGACTGGACCACGCTCTTGGGAAACTTAATATGCAGGTTTGTAGGGAATTCGTAATTTTCAAAAACATCTTACGTCATAAATAATTTTAATACATCTAACAGAACAATGTGAAACAATTGTCTCAAATCTGACATTGTATCAAGATTTATATCTAATATTTTAGCAACCTAGAGATAGCTTTAGAGAACAATATTTTGCAGGAAGCGCTGTGGCAACAAGCCCTCGATGATATCCAACGCGAAATAGAAATGAAATTGGACAAAATGGAGCTGTCACCTGTGAAAGAGTTCTTCAATACAAAACTCAAGCAGCTACAAGACAACCTGAAGCAAATCGCGTCTTTACGCCGATCCGTAGAAGCGGCTGGTGCTAAGAAAAAACTCATGAGGTTAGGCATTTACGTTAGACTTTCTTTGGTAGCTATAACCTCATACCGACATTTGATTTGGCACGTTGCACTTATTTCCGACGTACCAAATAAAAGTAACATAAGAGGATTAGCAGTGATTTAATTTTGTGTCGTTTCCAGAGATTTGAACTGCATATCTTGTGACGCTAAGGTAGTGATGCCAATGGAAGGTGAATCAAGTATACCAATGTCAAGGCCTTTACCGCCTAACCTCTCCATGAAGCCTTACCTTAGTTATGAATTAGGTAAACTTTCTAGATTTTACTATTTATCGCAACGGAATAAATTTAGCATTGATTATATCGTGCTCGGGAAAATGATAATGACATTTCCACACGGTTCAATAGGCGCGAGTGTGACGACGCAACGAATTCCAGCAGAGAATATGGAAATCCGTCGCATGCCATTCGTTCGCTACGAGATATTTAGACACGCACAAATATATTTTCATTTTCCTTACACCCCCACGGGACGTGAAATAAATTGTTTTATTTTAAATACACTGAGAATGAGTACAAAATCAAACATAAAGAGTTAGTAAATAGTTACAAAATATATTATGGAAATGAGAAAAAAATTATAAAAAAGTGAGGTTATACACGATGATAATATTCTTTAAAAATACTTTCCTATTCAAGATGCAATAAGGAAGGCTCAAGCTAGTAATCTACAGCAGCGCAATCTACACGACTGGGAACAAATTGACAAACAAGCGCATACACCCAAGCCGACGCAAAAAGTGCGGTAAGCTTAAAAATCATTTTTTTTATATTTAATAGCGCTTCTATTTAGCGCATTCATAAGTTACAAAATTTTATATGCCTACTCCCTAGCCTAGAGTAGACAATCCAGATACTAAATATTCCAATATTCCTTAATATATACCTGATAGGTCCGAAAATAATAGCATCTTAACCCTCCCACTAGACTCAAAAATATTAAATACATTTGACCCTCCCTCTTGAACGCCTGGTTGTTGTTTCTCTGAGGTATCCCCATCAGAACGAGCCACAAACTGGACGCTGACTATTCTTTCATTACTGATAGGTCCGATGTGGACAAACACACTTGCAACCGTTACTGCGGCGGCTCTCACACGACTACGACACCGGCGCAGCGCGTGGCGAGAGTCGGACACTTCGTGAAGCAGTGGGGACCCGATGTATTGCCTTTGTCTTCTACCGTGGGTCCAGGAGATGACGGCAGGGTAAAGAACTTAAGTACCAGAGAACTTCTTCATTACCTGTTCTAAAGCTATCTATTTTAATCATAGTTTATTGATAGTTTATTCGATAGGCATTTTAAAACTAATCTTTACAATAAAGTTGAACTGTGACATTTTCAGATGTACAAAATGAGCACACCTGAAGGACAATCTGCCGCAGGTAAATAATATTATAACAGGAGATGACAAACATTGCCCACTTGAATTGTACGGACAGAGGAATATGCAGAAAAAGAATATTTTCCTTTCCTATTAAATCTCAGTTTTGCTTTACAAAGGTGCTGCTGCAGATCCGACTTGTACACCAAAGTTGTTAGCGAAGAAAGGCGAACCAAAGATGGCTGATAAACGACCCATCGTTGTAAGCGCGGTAAGAATAATCCTTACGTACATATACAAAAAAACACTATCTCAGTTTTTTCAAGGAGTGTGAAAGAGATAACAATATCATCATCATCAACCCGTCCTTATCCCTATCGAGGGTCGGCACAGTATGTACTACTCCTCCATACATCTCTATCAGCCGTCATATCCGAGTCTTCCCCCTTCTTACGCATATCCTCTTCCACAGTCATTCCATACTTTTATGCTTATATCATCTTGATCCCTCCTCATAACATGTCCAAACCACGCTAATCTTTTACTCCTCAATTTCTCGATCACTGGCGCGAAAGAGATAACAATATACATAATATTTTTTAAAAATTGTGTTCGTGACGATATATTAAATCCATCCATACTTTCATACAAAATGTAACGTACCTAACCTAACGTGGTACCGACGTCACACATTGAGTACTGCTGTGTACATATTTTTTTTAATTTTCAGGAGTGTCGATGCCTGGAAGAAGGAGGAGGTACAAATAAATAGGTAACTATTACTTACGGGTTAATAAATTTATTTACATCTATGAAATTAAAAATAAAATTTACAATTCACAGATCGTGTGTCGAAGGATTGAAGGTAAAGTTGTATTATTTTTCCGTTTAATTTTGTGACACTTTTTAGCTTTATTATATTTTTCATAAAAGAAATTATTCTAATGTAAATAAAACAATGTATTATTTTTCCTTTGATTTATTTGGTAAATCAATTACCTTACAGAGTTTGTTATCTTATCGTTAAGTATCACTTAGACGTTTTAAGGCTAAAATAACAAAAATCGTCTTTTACATTCAAGTAAACAGATGACGGAAAAAACAATCATATACTTAAAATAATTGTATCTAATATTTACATAATGTAATCAAATTAAGTAATGATGTTGTCAACTTTACTTAAAATCAGCTTTTTTATTAACTTTAATAGTAAATAATACATTCCCGATACCACAGAGATACCATCTACAATATAAAAGATAAATTAACATTTAATTTTGAGAATCAAGTTGGAAAAGATAAAATACGCTTTTGAGACTCACAATGATGTTCATTGACCTTGACACTATATTTTGACACTCTCGTGACGTTATAAGACTTACGTCTCATGTTATTGTGCACGAGTTGTCAGAACATCACAATAAGCTCTCATTTTAACTATATCATAGTAACCAAACTTAGAACTGGCCACTATAATATTCTTAGTGCCCAACTTAAGGATAGTTTTCGCAAGATTTTTGTTTACATTTGAGTTAATATCAAATTGAAATCATTGTGACATAGCTGCATTTAAAATCTACAACAAAAGAAATACTTTTTGATAATGTAGAATGATCGGGTGTTAATTATAAACTCTAACCGTTGGATTCCGAGACCAAAATCTCTATAAAACATAACATCCTTGTCATTAATTACTAAAGCACAGACAATATGTTTTAAACTTGGATTTTTGGTTTCAGAAACCCACTATAAGTCAATATAAATGTAATTCAATGTACAATATGCTTGGCGATGCGCTAACGGTGTCGTCCGCGCGCGCCGTAGTGGTTGCCGGGTCCGTCCCGGCTGTAGCGGCGCTCCTTACGATCTCGGCTGCCGCGGGACCTGTCCCGTCGCTCTCTGTCCCGCGACCGCTCTTTGTCACGCGACGATTCATTACTTCTGCAAGATAATACTTTGCAAATTTATATAAAAAATACATTCCTTATATTTAATCCATTCATTTTTCCTTAATACAATTGCTTCAAATTTAACTAAGTTGAGAATAACAAGAGTAATAAAAAAATTTTTTAGATGATGTTCGATCTAATTTTGTACCCTTTTATGTCGCAGCTAGTCACATATGTTGTGTTATTTAATTTATGTATGAACAAAGTGAATGGTCTATAAAAATATAGATATTGTACCTGGTCTCGCCTGCGGACTTGCTGTCCCTGGACTTGCGACGTGCGGTGAGTGCGGTGAGCGCGGCGGGGCGGGCGCGCGGCGAGCGGGAGCGCGACTTGCGCCGGCGCGGAGATACCTCGCGCTCGCTGTTCAAATTGAAATCATCGAATCTGCAATTTAAATAACTAACTTTAAGTCACTTGGGAAAGTGATTTAACTGACTGATATCGGAATAACTTTTAGCTGTGTCTGTATAATTAACTATTATGTACAAAAGTATGTTTAAAATACCGATATATTTATATTATCTTTAAAATGTGAAAAAAAAACATACTTATTTTTAGGAGTTGTGGAACTATGACTAGAACTGGAACTCGAAGTTGAGCTTGATGATGATGAGGAACTGCGCGATCTAGAATTGTTAAAAAAAACTGAACATAATATCAAACTAAAATATTTAATAAGTAATACTGTTATTCAAAATATATTTACCTCCTCTTGCTACTACTACTTTTAACATCGGGTGTACTAGGTTTGCCGTTTCTTTCCACCTGCTCGGAGCTCTCCTTAGAATCGTCTTCTTTGGCTTTTTCTGTATTTTCTGGAAAGAAAAATATTCTACAATAATTAGATGTTTCAGCATAATTTTTGAATTATAAATATGTAATATAAACATAATTGTTGTCATACTAAACGCAATGCTAACCCAAGTTGGTAGAGTTGCCCTGTTCCCCATCACTGCCCCAAAGATCATACTTAGAAAGATCGGCTTCGTCTCCTGATTCCTCTTCATCATCCTGTTCCGGCGCACCCTCGCCTTGTGATGCGCTCGCCTTGCCCTGAAGCAAAACACAAACATAAACACCAATATCTTACAATTACTAAATCAAAAAGCTGTTATACAAACCTTTTTCCGTCTTTTTTTCTTGCCCTCAATAGATTTTTTTATATAACTCTCAGAGGGTTTAACAGCCAATTTTAGCCTATTCAATAATATTGGTTTAGGAAGTGCAAAACTTTTAAAATTCCCTATCACAGGTGCGTCCTCATCAGCACAAGGAATTTGTTCTTGAGACTTATCATCGAGTAAATTTAAATTTATATTCAGCTTTTTATTTGCATTTGGTATGATTGGGCCGGGATCAAAAATATCACTTAAAAATGGTGTGTCTCCCGCACTACCATCTAACTGCTGTAATTGTCTCTCTATACTACCGTCCCTATTTGATTCCTTTTCCCAATCCTCATCATTAGTCAAGTTAATTGTTTCTACATGCTGAACATCACCTAAATTGCTTTGCTCCGAAGATGTTTCATTTTGTTTATTAGTGTTATTAGAAGATTGTAAATTTTGCAAATTTTGTAATGCTAATAACAATGTGTTAGTATTAATGTTAGACAATATATTTGTTAAATCTACTTGACCAATTTTTGGGTCTATTGGCAAACAATTTTGTGGTTGATTGCTAACTTTAGATTGTACGTTAGAGTCTTGTGTTTGGGATTTTTCAAGTAAAGTTTTGTCATGAAAAGTATCTTCTTGTTTAGAACTATTTATGTCAGGATTACAAATATTGGTAGGTAACTTTTGTTGAGTATTTGGCTGTATAGTAATTGATTCTAGTACTTTCACACGTTTTGAAGGGCTTATAGTTTTTGTTAAGTCTTGCAGTGGAGCTTTTATAACTTCAGCAGGGATGTTTATTACTTCATTTGCTAATATCACTGGTTTAGGATTTATCTTCATGGCTTTCGCATTTGTTATTACAAGTTGTGATTTCTGGTTTAAACTATTATCATCCTCAATTTTATCATGTTCATTTAAAAAAGTTTGCTTTTGTACTTTATCTACATGTTCCTTGCCTTTCTGTATATCTTTGAACAAATCCAACAAGATATCACACTTGTCTGTGATGAAATCCATATTTGCTTTGTTTAAAGTTCCACTTGTCTGCACTTTAACAGGCTCAACATCCGAGATGTATAACATTTTAGACATAGGGCTGTGTACTGCGACTGAACCAATATTTGGTGGTGAAGGTGTCCTTGACGGTGATTTAGTTGAATGTGCGTTAACAGAGTCAGTATTTTTATATAAAGCATCATCATCTTCATCCCATTCAGTCTCGTACAATTTATGAACATTTGCATATTTCTCTAAATCATTATCTCTTTCTGGACTATTTGTTTGATCGCCTGTATTAAAAATATCCATTATACTTCGATTTTTTATTGCAGAATTAGATTGTACAAGATCAAAAATTCTAGCAGTATTCTCAGATACATCTAATTTAGGCACAGTATTTATTGGCTTATCAAACGGTGTGTAGTGGTCTGTTGAGGAAAAATTATCAAATTCATCTTTTGTGAAATCTTCAACTCTAGTATTTCTTTGATTTGTAACATAATTGACTGATGATTCCGTGTAAAATTTTTCTTCTGTAGGTTTTTGTATGCTTCTCGCTGTTGAAATAGTAACTGAAGTTAGTGTTGAGGTCTTATTACTTCCAAGAGATGTACAATTTCCTTTAGCCCAGTACCCTTTCTTTTTAACATTGTCTTTGAATTCTTGATAGTTACGTTTGGCTGTAGAGCCTAACCTAGTAGGCACATACTCACTTGAACAGCCATCAGTATCCAAAACAATGCTATCTTGTGTTTTAGCACTCATGTTATGCAAGATGGGTGTGTAAATATTTCCAGTGACTAAAGGAGATTGTTCTGATGGCTTTACTGTACTGTATCCTGTGAAAACTCGATTAATTTCATTTGGTATATAATCATTCATTTTTGAAATCGGTGTAGAGCCCCTCTTGACTTTGTGTCTGATTTTTCGGCCGTCTTCGTATACTCTTGACAAAAAGTCTCCATCATCGCTGTTGTACGAAATAGAATCAGAATCAGATTCATGAATGGAAGATTTCACTGGTTTCATTTTCCGAGGTCTGCTTTTTACGCTTTTGGAGCCCATATTTTCAGAATCTGTTTCAGGATAATTTGAGTCTTGGCTGTCACAAGAACTAGAACGATTTCTATGATGTGTGGATGTTGATTGACTCCTTGCTTGAGATTCCCTTTCTTCGGTACTTATAGATCCACCTGTTCTTGCATTATCTACTCCACTAAGAAGCACAGTTTCAACACTTAAACTTCTTGCCCGCACAGGTTTACTAGTGTCCATATTTTTGAAACCTTCATCATCACTATCACTTTCTATAAGAATCTCATCAGGGTTGGGCAGCATCTGAACATTTTTCCTTCTGGTTACAAGATCATTTGTTGTAATAGCATTTTTAGTTATCGCTTTTTCATTCTTCGTTTCATGCTTAGGTAACTCTAAATGAGAATCCACCAAACAACCTGTTAATAAAAGCCTTTGACGCCATGCAAAAATTGTTTTGAAGTCAGGTGCAGGTTTGTCATACAGTGATTCAAATTTAGTTGTACTTATTTTGCAGTTGTTATACACAATAGCATATGCTGCAGCTCTAACTCTTTCCTCAACTGTATAAGTCACCTGAAAATCTTCAGCTGGGGTTGTCCCAGTGAACTTATAAACAAAGTCATTGTTTGTTGATGATACTCTGTTTTCCATGACTGGATTGTATGACTTAATAATTGGAGATTCATTATTTTTCTTTGATCCCGTCTCATAACCTGACGATCCTGTGTAATCTCTGTCACCGATACTTGACATTCTCTTTCGCGGACTATTTGTGTTAGCTTTAAAACCAGGTAGCGTATGCTCCTGTCTGTGATAACTCGTTTGATTTGGCAGTTGATTTCTACGAAATGCAACTTTACTGAGAGGAGGCAGATCACATACTGAGCTATCACTTAGACTACCATTGACTTTTTCCCTTCCTCTATTTTGGTGGAATGAATTATTTGATGCTGGCACTTGAACTACATGATCCATCTTAATTTCCTTCTGCAGCACAGTGGGTGGCAACTTTTTGTTTACCGGTCCTTCAGTGATGCCAACCTGAAGGCAGGAAAAATTATCTCCACTTTAATAATGATGTGCTTCAAAAATTATTTCACTTATAACAAAAACATCTTCTTAGCTTCAAAATCCACAATTTGCTTCATTATGATTGTTTAATCAAAAATAACTCCTGCAAATCTAGATCTGTGCTTCCAGATCAAATGCCGAGAATAAAAACAATTGAAGCACTGCATCTTGCTTTCATACTCTACAATGATGTGTTAAAATTGTTTACATGTAATTAAATAGTTACTAATGTAAGTAAACATACCTTATCTTGTGTATCCGATTTGCGCTTGCGTTTCTTTCTTCCAAACTCATCATATTCGTCGTCAGAGGAAGGCTCTCGTCGCCGATACTCGACAACGCCGCGCTCATTGTAACCTCCCCCGTAGCCGGTGCGCGCTTCTACCTGAAATTAAAACGCACTTGTTGCATCAAAATTCACAAAATCATATTTAAAAGTTGAATAAATATGTTAAGCAACTAACTTCACCAAATTTCGGCGCATTACAAACATTACATGTTTGTCGCCGGGCCCAATTAACATTCGCGCACTTATTACATTGCCAATCATCGGCATTAAATAAACCTCTTGATTTTTCCGCAGCAGATTTTCCTATCTCTGTACCGAGCTTCTTTTTACAAGGTTTCCCTCCGTCTGGCCTTTCCTTGTTGCAACGATAGCATGATACTCGGCGGGCGAAATTGATATTTCCGCAATTTGGATCGCTACAAATCCAGTCTCCGTCGTTCATTATGAAACTATAACTCTTTTCTACAGATTTATCATAATTTACAGATAAAATGTCACATTACTTTGTAAATACCGCAAATCACACCGTTCGAAAATGTAAATAAAAGTCAAAAGTGAAGGATTGATACTTGCAAAGAAAATCAAACTCTCTTTTGCAAGAAAAGTAATCAAGATCAAGCCCCTTGCCAGCCATGACATGACGCAGACACAGCTTATAGCTTATCCGGTTTTGGTTTGTACGGTCATAGACAAGCTATAAATAGCGTCCGGTTCAAAAGTTTTCGAAAGTCGGTAAATGTTTTTACTTATAAGGAAGTATTTAACACCTAGGCATTTAATAACAGAACCTTATTGCTATACGTCTTTAAGAGATTCAGCGTTTCAGGTGAAGTGCAGAAGTACCGAAGAGACGTGGCAATGGCAGGACCAAACAATGGAAATCCATTCCGTATCCCTCTAGTTTGCGAGGGCGAGATAATATTGAAATAAATAAAAGAAGATTTACACGAAAAATACTAAGGAGGAAATGTATCAAATGCAATGGGACCCCCAGGCAAATAAAATCCTCGATTTCATCTTCATATGCTCTTTGATTATCATTACAGGTGGGCCAATTTAATATGCCACATTTGACTTCCTTCAATTTTTGCTTAACAGTGAGGAGCTGCTGAAAACATCGATTGCTGATGATCGGATGTGAATCGAATTCAGATGAGATGAAGTATTCATGTTTTTCTTGTTTAAAAAGAAAATAATTCACTGACGTGATTAATAATCTTATCAATCATAAAATATGTAACCGAAATCTAACTTAATTACATAATGTCACACCGTAAACGCATAACTATAAACTATTGAGTAATCGATCTTTTAAGAATTTTAATGAAATAAGTAAATACTAAAATTTACGATTTTCTGTTCGTCAATGCCTTGGTTAAAATTTCATCTCTATATTTGGTTTTGAAGATTATTCGTATTGTAATTCACAAATAAATCATGTAATTTTCGATTCTAACTTTTACTAGAACAACTATCGAAAATGATAGAGACTCAAAACCGTTTTTACACATCCCTAGTGAATTGTCAAACTAATCATCATAAACCAAAACGAAAAAACTCAAAATTGTAAATATTTTGTTTGATCGTTTTGACACGTAATTTGTTTCTATGTACTAAGTTTGCAATTATAATTTACAATATTTTGAAGTGAAAAACAGAGTAAAATAGTTCCTCTTGTAATTTATTGATAATTGTAATTGCAATAAATTAACTATAAAAATATGGCTGAGAACGTTAATATAGATCTTTCGGGAGAAATCAATGCCACTACTGAAAAGAAAGGTTTACAAAAGTATGTGAATGAAGTAGAATTGTAAGTTGTACTAACAATATTAACTATTTTAAAGCATGTAATTTATTTACAGTTAAAGTATGTCGCCCTAGAATATATTGTAGCAATAATTTCAAAATTTTTAATTAATACAAAGTTATTATTCTATTGTGATTATTAAATAATTATTAAGTTGAATGTGGACTACTGCAATTCACTTCAATTATTCTAATTGCTCAGCACTACTCTTTAAACTATGACGGCACTGTCCTGCCAAGTCTTAAATGCTTCATTTCAAAATTGCAATATTGCCACCAAATGTACTAGATATAGAACATGGTGATATCTGATAAGGTGAAAGATACTTAGATATAGTATGAACCACTAGTAACAATTCTCCTGATAAAAAATTTAGTTCCTTCAGTCTGAGTTTGTCCTATTGCTATAGACTACTGCAGCATGTGCGAAGTGGTGCTGCTCCAGCTCTGGTGCTAGGTCTGCTATCTAACAGACGACCATGGACACAATTTATTGCCACTGAAAACTTTAAGGTAAATAATGTGTAAAAAATATTGTTTTGTTATGCTTGCTAACAAACTTTTAAAGTATGGAGACAAACATTATTTTTATTATATTTATTTAATTAGTTACATTTTTCATTACATCTTAAGTTCCTGGCCGATTTATTGTTGAAATTAATACATTCTATTATATTCTTTATTTTTTTGCAAGATAAGTGTCATTTGTTTAATTATAAAGTTTCCATATTTGTGAAGTTACTTGTAATATATTTCAAGCCATATATATTATGACCCTTAAAGAGTCTGCAATTTCTTTCAGTCTCCTGCTTCAATTCCTCGGCTTACAAGACGTTTTTATAGAAATATTGAATATTTCCAAGCCAATTATTTGGTGATATTCCTAGGACTATTTGCATATTGTCTGTAAGTATATTTTAGACAGTATATTCATATGTTAAGATTAATTTTTAAGACATTTGTTCTACTTATTTTTAATAAATTACAGAATAACTTCACCACTGCTTCTGATTGCAATGGTTGCCAGCTTTTTTGGATATAGAAAATTAACATCTGGACCAAATACATGGAAGGTATGTTTTACAATTTGAAATTTTACTTATTTGATACATTGTCAAGCTAAAATTAACATAACATATTTTTCAGATTGGAAGTTGGGAATTAAGTAAAACTCAGCAGTATGCTGTGTATGCTGCTGCATCAATGGCTTTGTGCTGGTTGGCTGGTGCTGGGGCTGTTCTGTTTTGGGTCTTAGGTAAGTTTCAATATAACAATTGACTACCTACTGGGTTGTGCAGATGTAAATGACCTCATTAAATCATATGAACATATCATTAATAGTTTAGAAGACAAGCGTGAAGTAGAAGAAATTCCAAGTTTCGTCTGATGGGTGTGATACTGGTGGCCTAATTTTGGTCATCTTTCTAATTAAAAATGAAAAAATAATTTCCAGGAGCTACTGTCACTGTTGTGGCTCTACACGCAAGTTTCTTTGATGCAGAGAGCCTTCCACCTTCAGATGAGCAGTTCCCAATGATTGAGCAAGTTTGACAGGATCACTTGCCACTGTTTCTGCCATCACCTGGTCGCATGATACCTCTTGATCCACCGTTGTTGAGTTGAATCTATTGGTGCAATTTTCAAATTAATTTATTTGGTTATATGCACAAGCTTTATCACTAAAAAGTAGTGTTTTTTATAAGATATAATCATGTTTTTTTTTAATTTAATTAATATTGGGAGAGTCTGGAGTAAAAAGGAAATTGCTCCACCAATAAGGTTAATAATTAAATGATGTTTGTAAGTATAATAGAAATGTAGTGATAAAGAAAATAATTAAATTATTGAATTATTTATATCAAGATATGTTTATTAATATAATTTTTTAAATAGAGTAATTAATATTTTTGAATATATATCTAATATTTAATTAATCATAGTTTTGTAGGTTTTATTATTATGTTTACCTTATATGTAACATAAATACTTAAAAGATAATGTATTATCAATTTAAACAAGAAATAAATTCCAGCTTGATCCCTTCACGCATTTTTGAGAAAAAGCGTCTTCACGGACGGACAACAAAGTGATCCTATAAGGGTTCCGTTTTATTTCCTATGAGGTATGGAACCCTACAAACCATAAATATATTATAGAAAATTCAAGATAACTTGTGACTTGATATTTGAAAGTTATTGTAGATATATATATAAATGTTTTACTTATTTTATATTGTAAAAATAATTGTTTAATAAAATCCAATTCAATAATATCTGTTTTCAATAAGCTTAGTTTAGAGTGTAAATGTTACGCTAACTTTTTTTCCGAAAATTCTGATTAGAATTCTATACAGGTTGTTCTATAAATTTTGAACTGGTATTGCAGGCTCGTAAATTATAGGAGTTATTGAAAAAATTACAATAAATATCAATGTATTTATTTAAGAAGTAACTTATAAAAAATAGAACATATTATTTAACTTTACATAATATTCTTTATAAATTTACGTACAAAAAGGACATAAATTGCATTCATCTCCCGCACTTTAAAATAAAAATATATTTCATAGAATTAATATATAGTCCAAGGTTAAATTGTCATAATACATGCGTAACTTTTATAATACTTTTTATATATATAAAAAACATTACTAATCAGTCCCAGTGTCAGAATTGTAGTATTTGTTTATAAAATTTTGCTAATTTTTTAATAAACTTTAATATTTCAGTCAGTCTATGAACAATCCAAAGCAAACTTTTTATTTTTAATAAATTTGATTTCACTGTCATTTCGCAAAATATTAGCCAAATTTACAAAACATCTATATAATAGTATTTCAATTATAAATAATTACGTGTTTCCATAATATTAACTTTTTATATTAATAAATATAACGCTATGTCTGGGACTCACATAAAATATTCTGTTTAAAATTAAAAAAAATTACATTTTCAACAGTGATAAAACATTTGAATGCTTTAAAATAATTTTTTTGATATTTTTTACAGCACATCCCTGGAAGACTAAGCATGTTTACAAATATTTGTTTATATCAAGGCACAGCTTTTCATATCTGGTTGGTTACCTTCTTATAGTTGATTTCTGAGCCAAAAATCTCATTATAAAACATATCGTAATGTCTGTTTTGTCAAAGATAAAGGCTAACGGGCTGGCAATATGCTTTATAGAGGTAAAAATTTTGGTCTCAAAAACTAACAATTAGTGGGATGCAGATAAAAGAAACTTAACATAGTTTTTGAATACACAAACTTTGTGATTAAATGGACAGGAAAATGTTACTATTTGTTGGAATAAAATAATTAATAACATTTGTATCCAAATGTAGTCATTTTGATTGGGACTTTTTAGGTACATGATATTCTTAGCTAACCCTGAATCTAGCTAACCCTGAATCTGCCTAAAATTAATTTTCAGTCAAGTTCACTGTCAACATTCAGTGAATATTCTTAATATCTGCTGGCAAAATAAGGCACAGCATTTTAACTTAGATTATAAAGGCACATGTTTCTATATTGCAGAACACCATTTGTAAGGAACTAAATTAAAAAATATATGACAAGAACATAGTATACCTTACGGTAATCAATATCTTCAGTCAACAGGAATCCTTATGTATGTTGGATCAAAAGCACTATGATACTTTATCAGCATAAATCAATTTTGTATCTTTTTATATATCATTTCATTTACCATACTTTATTATGGCCATTTTTAAATAGAATTAACATAAGATATGTATTAGTATAAAGCGTAAAATCACAACTAAACTCCTTTATTAATTCTACTCAACTCCATATCTGCAACAAGTAAGATCTCATCCCACTTGTGTGATGGTGTATGTGGAGGTGTGGTTACACCTAGTTTACTTTCACTACTCGGAGTGGTGAATTCTAACTTTCGTTTCGATCTTCCCGCATACACATGGCAAGGAGTTAATTTCTGATATGTATCTAAAGCTGTGAGGGGTGTTATTGGTGATGGTGTTTTGATTGCATCATCAAGTCTATTAACCTTATACCTCCCAACATATTTGAATACTGGCTTCTTTAATATTAAATTACCGGAAACTTTTTCAATAAGACCAATTGATATAAATACATTAGCAATATCATAGAGCCTTCGCACTTTAGACTTGTGTTGGCGGTCCAGCTGCTCGGGCGAGAGATCAGATTTATTTTTATTTGAATTATCTATTAGTACCTTCACAGCCATCTCTAAATTTATTAGAGTATTCTGTAAAGAAATATGTTTATTATTAATTTTACTAATCCTTAATAAAATAAGATGAATAAAAAAAAATCAGTTGCTTTGAATATGTTTTATACTTACTGGGGGTTCTACTAAAAATAACATTAAGAATCTTTTGGCCAGTATTCCCAGTGTTTTGTGTTTTGGTGGAGGAGGCTTGGGAGCTCTACCTCTCAAAGCCTCAGATAAGCGTAAATTTTCCCCTTGTTTCTTAAGAATCTTTAAAAAGGAACTGAGGCCAGACTCCCCATGCCATAAATATGTATTTTTCTTCTCATGAACTGCATACTTCATTGCTTCTAAAATATTTATTATGTCATACATTCTGCGTTTCTCAACTCCTAACCTGGCCGCAGTGCTGTCTAATTGAATTTTCATTGTTCCATTACATTGAAGAGGAAATAGGTTAAGAAATCTACAAAGATAAGACATAGAATTAGAACTTAATAATAAGGACAGTAGCAATCGAAATAAGCAATCCTAATGTAATTTTCTCGGCATGTAATCTTACTTGTCGCATAATATTTGCAAGGATTTTTCTTTTCGTTGTACTGCGCTCGGTGGCGGCGTGGGGTACTGTAGTGCAACGTTGGTTAACAATTTGAGGTTAGCAGTAGGAGACACATAACTGGCGTTCGTAACTTCTGTAAGTGCGCATCGCTTCGGAGTTAAAGTTATGTATTCATTCTCATACATTCTGCAGACATTATGCAAAAATCTAGTGACTTAAATATTCGCGTACTTTTTGACAGATTCAACAAAAATCTCGTAGGTTATCATGTAAAATAATAAAAAGGAACGTATAATGTCAAATTGCTATTACAATTACTTTTCACATGTTGGTTTAACCATATTATTGAATAACAAATGACAAAATTAACACCTTAACATCGATAAACAACTTTGACAACAAGAAACGCGCGCGAACCGGCAAGAGTGAATTTTAGTCTATGATTATACAATAAGCGGTACTGGTACAGTGTACTAGTATAAAATATCAGGCCGTTAAATCATCAAAAAATACAATTTAAGAACAACAGTTTGTAATTCGTTTATTTTGCACGAAGTTGTCACAATTGTATCATTGTAGGGAGATCGAGAAACATCGATATTGTTTATCTTTTTCTATTTTTCACTTCTAAGAAGTTTGTGGATATTTCTCATAATTGAGAATTATTTAAGTTAATCCGTTAACGATACAAATGTTGTTTTTTTTTGGCCGATTACTATAAGGTACGCAGTACGCATGTTTATCAATTTTTATATTTTCATCCATCAGCCCATCACTAATTTTCATTTATCACCCGTGTCAGTACATGTCAGCTGTCGTCAAAATGCAAGCAATTTGTCTATGGTCTATGGTCAAACGGGGAAGATAGAGATTTCGCGTTGGGATTGGGAAATTAGGATTAAAACCAAATATTTATACATTAACACATTATACCTCGTTATTTTGTAATGATTTTCATTTTGTTTGTTCTTGGAAGTTTATACTTTCCCTGTGTCACAAGATCAGAATACTCTAATCATACATTTAAAAGTAAGTAATTTCACTTATAAACGAAAAATGTTGTTAATTCAACAATTATATTATTAATTATAAGATTGTCTATTTTTACAGATACCATTGTTTGTCGTTCTTGTGGTAATAATATTACTAGTACTGAAGTAATAACATCTAAGCGTAGTTCAGAATCTAGTCATTCATTTGAGGAAGCTGTATTTAATGACGATAACGTTTTAATTCAGTTATTGTCGAAAGATAACTTCGAATTCCACGTCATAACCACTTTACAAGCTACGTGCGAGAATTTCGGACAGGTGAATATAAATATGCTTTATTCTTCTACCTTATCTTTTGTTCCACTTAAATTTAATAATCTATTTCTAGGAAAATGTAAATGATTTTTAAACTTTATAAATATTTGAACAAATAAGCTAAAGCTTAGTTATCAATAATACTATAACTTTAGAGTAGTAGTGATTAAGATTTCAAAATATATTTATTATTATTGCCAACAAAATTTAATTTTAGTGGCAAGAAGAAGAGTTATGGTATCCTGGATATCAATGGAAGCCTTGCATTTGCCCCGAGTGCGGTACATTTGTGGGTTGGGTCTATAAGAGCTCTGATATAGAACTATTTCGACCACAGATATTCTATGTTCTTATTGCATCCAGCTTAATAAGTGATTCTTGTAAATATTAATAAATTTCTTCTAGGGTGTTGGACACTGTTAGCCGAATGTGTTGTGTTTGGGAAAATGATTTTTTGCTGACAACATTAGCTTAGCTTATTTGTGTTTGTATTAGGCCACATTTACACTACAAGCAGTTCATTAATATAAACAAGTAGCTGTCTCCTGCCACTCGGTCTGTCGGAATTAAAAAAAACTTAGTAACCTATGTGTCCTTCCAGGCTATGTTCTTCATCTATGCCTCATTTTAGCAAGATCCATGCAGCCATTCTGGAGATACCTTCAATCAAACATTAATCCATCTATCCATCTAAACATTCATGTTTATAATATTAGTAAGATTATGCTCAAACACTTGTAAGTTGTGGTTAGATTGTTATACATTTGTGTACAACTGTGTGCTTAACTTGTCATGTATTTGTTAATATTTGTAACATTTTCTGTCATGTCTAATATTTTACCTTTTTTCAGTGATTGATTCTTTAATAGTCTACCCCAAAATATAATCATGACTTCTGATTTTTCTGCCGAAGATAAAGATTTTTTAGCACAATGCGAAGAGGAATTAAAAGACCGTTATACTGAGTTAGATGAAGATTATATGAAAGTATTTAATGCGGAACAAACCAAACCTCCTATATTGGAGAATTGGAGATCATCACAAAACCGTCGATTTAACAATAGGCGATTCCATCCATACGAGATCCAATAGGAATAGAAACCATGATCGTGGTTACCAGGACGGAGGTCGTAATGAGTATTCTCGAGGCTATCAAGATAGGAGCTACGAAGACAGAGGCTATGAGGACAGAAGATATGGACGAGGATATTCCAATTCTGATAACAGAAATAGAGATCATTATCAACCAAGGAGAGGGAGGTTTTAAGTGGCTTACCACCTAATATGACTGAATTTCAACCGTTGTAACACATAAGAAATCTTTGATTTTTTTTAAATAATGGATGAATTTCGTGAGAGATTATATTAAAACTTATAAAAGAACGGATAAAACACTCACCTATATTCGTCCGGCGGCGGCACCGACTAGTTTCGAGCTCATTAGGGACCGTTCATCAGGTTGAGTGGGAAAGGTATTATTTCGAGCTCCCAATGGGTTCTAAACTAGTCGGTGCCGCCACAGGACGAATATACGTGTTTTAGCGGTTTTTATATAAGTTTTACTGATGAATGATTGTTTATGCAAGTGTTACAACAGTGGAAACTCACTATATATGATTGCTGCATCTAGTAAATATTTGTTTTTATATGTAAAGGGATAAATAATAAAACAATTTTCTCAAAAGAATATATTCTCAGTTATTATGGCTTGATTTATATTTTAACAACTTAGAAGTTACACAATAGATCACCAGTAAATTAATACAGCTACACAATCTTAAATCAAAATTATAACAGAATAAATAATTATATATATCTTCATTGCTACTCAACAATTTAATTTCTTTTTTTTAACAATAATTATGCCGATAATTTCTTTATCGTAAACCTAATTTTCCATACTAATACATTTTTGATGAAACAACAACATTTATAAGTATATTTTGCATGGACTGAACTTTAATACGGTTAATGTAATCTAGTAACAGCGTAGTTAATTGCACAGTTCATCTACTACCATCAACTTTGCAAACTAAACATGTAGCAACCTTCCTATACAATCATATAATCGATTAAAAGCAACCGCGACGATACATTTTGCAGTGTAGACAGATAACTTTAAAATTGACAGCACGCGGCGCGAATCGACATTGAATGCTCCATTCTAAAACTATCTATTACTTAAATCATAGACAAACAAGGAATAGCTCCAATTTTCTACATTTCTCGGCCTAAATTCATTGTATATTCGATGATCATTCTAGATAGTGATGTCGAGGCGGACATCCTCCAGCACCAAGCTACAAGCCGCAGGACCGCAGCGGCCATCTTACACAGCTAAATAAATAATTTCGACCAGAAAGTCTGAGTAACATCGTGCTGACTAAGCACAATGGCGGTTACATTCATCAAGCTCTAACACTATTTATAATCATTTACTATGATAATTATATCGGCTACTATTTCTGTACGAAGCGTTACATCAAAATATATCCGCTAATACTTCTTTTAATATAATTTATTTTCTCACAATGATTAGTACAACATTCAGTTTAAATTATTCCGGTAACTAGTGTTAAATCGTGATAACGCTTTCTATATAGCAAAATGCAACCATATTATAATCAAATCACAGTGAAAGTAACATAAATTATGCTCACACTAACTTAACATTAACACATACGAAACTCACAGACAAACAAACAACTAAAGATATATTTCTCGTTAGGGCGTCACCGGTCGGTTTAGAATTATCCAATGTGTAAATGTAATCTACGTCTCTAGAAATTCATAGTCCGCCGCTCCGGAGAGCGAGAGCGGCAATGCAATCTATGCTTTCTAAAAACGAACGATCTCTTAGTAAATCTCTACACTACATTATACAATGATATCAATCGTTACAAATATGTTCTTAGTATTCTTAACAACGCACAATATAAATCGTATGAATTGACACATAGTTAGTTGGGAAGGTCGCGTGCATGCGGCGCGTAGGCGCTAGGCGCGCGAGGGCGCGAGGGCGCAGGGCGCGGGGGCGGGGCCGAGGGCGTGGCCGCGCCCACAACTAACATACGAACGACAATTGACTAGGAATAATGCACTTGCTCCGGATCGCGCCCGCTCCGAACGCGCCTACATTCCGAGAGAATCAAAACATTGGTCGAGTTTCAGTACGTTTGACTAGAAAAGCGCGTGACGTCTCGAGGGCGCGTCGCCGACGAGACGCCGATACTGCGATACTGAGTCGTCAGTTCGATACGATCGACTTGTAAAAGTGTCGAGTCTTGGTAGCAAATGTTCATAAGATAGTGTAAAGCTAGTATCTCGAAGCGAGCGCAGAAGGAGGGGGCCGGGGCCGGGGCCGGGTGTGGGAGTGGGGGTGGAGCGAGGCGCTCAGATGAAGGTCCAGCACTCCATGATCTTGACGATGAAGTCCTCGCGCGTGGTGAGCGGCTCGTTGCCGTACGTGGTGCAGCGCTGCGTGCGGCCCAGGTACAGGTCGCCGTCCAGCCAGATGCCGAACTTGCCGCTGCACAACAACAACACATTCACTATAACTTATTCAAACTACGAAACATTGTGCTTCGAAAAAATAGTGCAAAAATAGAAAGTACAAGTCGAGAAGAAGTCTATTACTATTACTAAATTTTCACTCTAAATTGATACGACTATTAATTATTAATAGTAATTCTACAATTTAAAGCGAAAGTTACACAAAAGTTAACATTTTATGACCGTGTTAAGCGATTTGATATTAAAATTTGATTCTTAATTTTATGTAAATGTTATATATATAAAAGGACCGGTTTAAAGTGGCTTTAATTCAGGATCCTACCGTAAGGTTAAACTACGGATGACTTGACTAACAAATACATACTATATGAAGCAAATTTTTCAATAAGAGTATATAGAGTAGTTATAAATATGCATTGTGAAGCTGATAAAAACATACAATTGTTTAAAATGGCAATAGAAATGGTGAGAGAACGATTTCCAAGACATTATTGAACAAAAGTTCTATTGAATATAATCTCCCAGGATAATATGAATATTAAGTGTAGAAAGAACAATGCTTTCAATTATTTTTTTAAACATTCCTAATATAAACAACCATCTTATCTATGTTTTATTGAGAAATTACGATTGGATAAAGTTGTCAAGGTAATATAGGGTACTTACTCTCCGGCCCCGATGGAGATGTTGTCGTTGCTGCCGCGGATGAAGTACATGTTGTCACCTGTCCAGCCCCAGTATTTGAACTTGGTCTTCGCTGGAGCAGCTTGTTCTGCAACACATAAACACATAATCAATGATTACAAACATAGTCAAATAAAATTATTGGTTGAAGTTTGAAGGTCATTGTTTAAATCACACTAATTTGATTTAATTTTAAGATAATCTTACTAATATAAATGCGAATGTTTGGATGTATGTTTGTTAGAAAGTATCTCCAGAACGGCTGCATGGATCTCAATAATATTTGGCATAAATGTAGAACATATTCTGGAAGAACACATAGGTATTTAATAAAGTTTTTATTAATTACGCGCGGACGGCGTCGCGAGCGACATCTAGTTACGTACGTATAAAGGCGTAAAAAAGCAACCACTTAGTAAGTGTAAAGTCATATCATTTAACTTTTTAATATCTTTCAATGATATATAATAATAAGGTTTCCAGCAAAGAAATACGATAGTTAATGACTTGAAGAAAATTCAATACTACTTGAAGTAATTGTATACAATCAAAGACACGGGAACTAGATATTTAATATTGTAAGAGCCAAGGTAGATATGTGGCCGAGTACACGACTCCAGTTTCACATTGTAGTCAGATTTAACTTTGAAAATATCATGTATAATCACAATGTTTGAGAAAATGTCAACCATCATTCTTCCAAGAATGTTAAAAAATATCAAACAATTCATTTGAATTTATGTAATGTCATCTATAAACAAACGTACGCATCAGATAAAGAGCAAGTATGATTTTTTTATCATCATCATCATCAGCTCACTATATATCCCCACCGAGGGGCTCGGAGCCTACCCTAAGTTAGGGGTGACTAGGCCATAGTCAACCACGCTGGACCAGTGCGGGTTGGTTGACTTCACACATATCTTTGAATTTCTTCTCAGATATGTGCAGATTGCATCACGATGTTTTACTTCACCGTAAGAACGTCGGATAAATGTACAAATGTAAATCGGAAATCGAAAAACACATTGGTACATGGCGGAATTCGAACCCAGGACTTGCAGATTGCAAGTCAAGCGTTAGACCACTGAGCCACCAACGCTTTTTTTATATAGGACAGAAAATATGTAAAGGTTTTTTTCTTTCTTTTGTTTAATTGAATACACTTTATCGTATAAACACAATGAATTTATCATTTTTCAATATTGTTTCGCAGTCAGCAGCAGTCAATCACATATAGAGTTTATCACTTACCTTCCTTCTCATCCTTTTTAACTTCATCCTTGGGATCCTTGTCCTTGATTTCTTCAGGTGCGGGATGCGAGTGCCGCCTGGTCTCCTCACGCACGCGCTGGAACGAGAACAGCAGAGACTCGCCCGTGCCGTAGAAGTGCTCGGAAGGTCGGAGAGCGCATGATGTTAGCGCACCGAATACCTACAATACAATAACATAATACAATACAATAAAATAACACTTTTAAGCAAACTACCATTGACCACATCACGTAATAAGTAAAATTAAGCTCTACTTTATCGTTATAAAAAAAGATTTAGTTATCATGCAGTAAGAACCACGTTGACATCATATTATTTTGTCATCCCTCTATATTGCGGTAGTATGAGACAGTCTGTTAATCTTTTCGTTGTAACCAAGGCAAATAACTAAAGCGACAACTGTCTCCCTATTTTCAGCCATAAAGTATGTAATTTTAGACATTATTAGTTAGAATCCTTTGGCGCGAATGGCGCGCATTCATTGAAAAGTCAAGTGTCAGAATGATTAGTGAGGTGACATAAACGTTGACATTTTAGTAAATATTTTTAAAGAGTATTGTAAATATGAAAAACATTGTATAACCTACTTGTTGATAATAAAGCCATAAAACGATTTATGAACAACTCGCCGATAAACAATCGCGATTGACACGGTATCAGGGGGTGGAAACTTAGAAGAAGGACGATTTGTATGGAAAGTGGCGCCATCTTTTAAATCTTGGTAAACATCATTTCATCTCTACTTTGTGTCATCGAGACATTCATGTGTCATCAAACCGCT